GTGGAAGGATGGTGTAGGACCTGGATTGACACAGTAACTGGGCCAATGGGGGTAGTTGTGTCCGAGTCAGTGAGAATGAATCAGGACAGCACAGGCTTCAGAGCTATTGTACACGAGGTTGTTATGAGTCATAGGCAACTCAACGGCTCATAGCAACAATGATGAAATGTAGATTAATGGTTGCCTGGAGACTCAGGGTGAAGGAGAGCTGACAATGGGGCACATGGAAACTTTTGGAGTGATGGATGCATTCACTATTATCAATTGTGAATGGTCTCATGACATATATAAGTCAAAATGTCTCAAATTGCACTTTAAACAAATTTTGTCTTTTTGGATTCTTGCAGAAACAATCAGATTTTGTTTCTGGTTATGTCTAGTTGGCCTGGTGGGGTAGTGAGGAATGAATCAGGCTGCTAATTGAAAGGTGAACAGTTCAAACCCATCAGCTGCTCTGTTGGAGGAAGATGGATCTTTTCCTTCTAGAAAGATCTACAGCCTCAGAAGCCTGATGGAAGGCCTCTGTGAGTCAGAACCAACTTGACCACAATGGGTTTGACTGAATCCACTGTTAGCTCATCAGTTGATCCTGTTGTTTTTATGTACCATCTAGTTGCCTGCCACTCATAGCGACCCTGTGTACAATAGTTCTGAACCCCGCTCTGTCCTGAGTCAGTTTCACCGACTCTGACATAATTCCCATTGCCCCAGTTACTGTGCCAATCCTTCTCATCCGGGGTCTTCCTCTCCTGTGCTGACCCTCAACCCTTCCAAGCATGACGGTCTTCTCCAAGGACCAGTCCCTCCTGGCCATGGGCCCAAACTATATGACATGGAGCTTCAAAATCCTTGCCTCCAGGGAGAAACTTGGTTTCACCCTCTCAAAATAGACCTGTATGTTCTCCTGGCAGTCCATGGTATGTTTAAGACTCTTCTCCAGCACCACGACTCAAAGCTGTTGATATCTGAGAGGGCCAGTGTCTGACACAAACAGAGCCGTTTGAATGCTACAGTAATGATCCAACATGGAAGTAGTTGGACAAGAATTAGTGGAGACAGGAAGTACCTGGATTCAGTGGTCAAGTGGACCCTGGATGGGATGGGGATAGAGGCATCAGATGGACTCCAAGGTGTAGAACAGAGCACTTAGAAGGAGAAGCTGGAAGCTGGAGTCTCCTGCAGAGATGGAGGAGGCTACCTGTGGATGAGGTCGTGGGAGGATGAAAGTTCTGGAGGTGGGCTTGGAGGGCGGATAGTCAAAGATGTCTCTTAGAAATCCAGGTGGGGGTATTTAGCCAGCAACAGGATACAGGAAGAAACTCAAGACGAAGGCACTGGCTGAGGAGTAATTACTAGTGAGGAGGCCACTGCAGAGCTTGACAATTGCCCTGGAGAGTTCAGCATAGAAAATGGCACTCCAGTCCCTTCCCATTGCCACCTTGTCACCCCTTCCATCTGCTTTTCATCTGCTGTGACTCTGAGAGAGCTCCCAGCAAGCATGAGGGCAGAAGCTACCAAGGGGCGGAGGGATCTCATTTCCCTCTGTGACAAGCTGATGCAGGCCCGCTCTCTGGCTTAGCGTGATCTCTGACCACGTTAACAGCCCCGATGGGAGAGTGAGGATTTGACTCCAAGGCGCTCGCTGCCCAGGGCTCATAGACACCCCAGAGGGGCATCTGTGGCTGCACAAATTGGGCATGATTTTCTGTGATGGGGTGAGCTGGCCTGATCGCTCAAGGGAGGAAGGACGGGAGGGCTGTGCTGGATTTAGGAGGCTGGAAGCAAAATGCTATTAAAGAAAATCCGATTAAAGTTAGCTGACTGAGGCTTGCTTTTGGAAAGACTCTGTTCCACCAATTTCCAGTGTTTGGAAAGAGAAAGAGAGTAAGGGGGAGGGAGAGTGAGAGAGACAGATGTTAACCACGCTGTCAGCCAAAGTCAACACTTAATATCAATCTACCTCCTTGCCACTCTCACTGCAGCATCACCTGGGGGCTGATGCAAAACGCAGATCCTCAGGTCTACCCAGCTCAGCTACTAACTGAAAGGTTAGTTTGAACCCATCTAGCAGTTCCACGGGAGAATGACCTGGTGGTCTGAGTCCTTAAAGATTAAACCAACAAACTAAAACACCTCCCACCCCAAACTAAAAATCCCTCGCCAATACGTCCACTCCAACTCATAGCCGCTCTTTAAGACAGAGTAGAACTGCTCACAGGGCTTCCATGGCTAACATCTTTACAGGAGCAGACAGCTACATCTTTCTGCCGTGGAGGACTGACTAGTGGGTTTGAACCATCAGCCTCAGAGCTGATTAGCCTCTCAGATTAAGAGCCTAACTCTTACCCGCTCTGTCAATAGGACTCCTTCAGTGAAGATTCCCATCCAATGTTGTGCAGTTTTTCTGTTTCATAACAAACAGCCACAGAGCTTCCAAGGCCTCGAATCTTTTTTATTAATGGTTTTTTAATGCAATATAATATATATATATTTACAGCATATTCTGTCCATATAATTTCCCCCCCCATTCATTCATTGCTGCACATTTTCTTCCCTGCCCACTCCTTCCTCCCAGTTCATTTTTCTCTTTGAAAAGAAAAATAGAAAAAAATCTTTCTTTATGTGAAGGGACTGCCTGTCTTTCTCCCTCAGAGCAGCTGGTGCTTTGGGGTTGAACTGCTGACCGTTGCAATACATATCAGACCACATTAGGGCCATTATGAGTGAACATCAACTCAACACCTTGTACAACAACAATAAAATCAACAACAATAAAATCTACAGGGCAAGGAGCCTAGGTGACGTAAGTGATTTGTGATTGACTGTTACCAGAGATATTGGCAGTTCAAGTCTCCTCAGCAGCTCTGCAGAAGGAAGACTTGGCAATCTACATGTAAAATGATAACAGCCAAAACAAAAAAATCTTTATGGAGAAGTTCTTCCCTGTACCACACGGGGTCCCTTTGAGTCAGGGTCAACTTAACTTTAGCAGTGAGTTTTCTCTCTTTTATTTTTTGTTTTGTTTTAGTCCACATGGCTCTTTCCAAGTCTCTAGTTTTGACCATCTTTGCCTTATTCCAATGTCACCTGTAATATGATTTAATCTCTTTGAAACAGTTCACTTCTTTAGAAGACTCCAGCACATTTTTTGACGAAACTTTAGATCATTATTTTCAGTGGAAAAGCAGTGTCAGTTCCATAAACGGAAATAATCCCAAAAGTACACGAAAAAAGATGAAAGTAAAACCCTGTTACATAAATTCTGGTTGAGTGGTACTCCTGCCCAGTGTTCTTTGCCTGAGGCCTGCTTTTTTCTTAAAGGGAGACTGTTGGATGTTAAAGAGATGATGAAGACATTCTGACACAATGGAGAACTTCACCTTGAGGTCACCACATACTAGAAAAAGCAATGCTTTGTAACACTTCTGACATCATTTATCTACCATGTCCTAGTCCCCACACTTGAGAGTAAACGCTGTTCTACAACAGTGCCCTTCACATTCTCCCCAACAAAGTTTCTTATATCTCTTACCCCAAATTGCCAGTCAGTCCCCTTAAAGGTAAGTAAGAATTGATATACTCAGGTTGTGATGTTGGCAAAGAGTATAGACTGTATCGTGGTCTGCCAGAAGAACAAACCAATCAAGTCCAACAAGAACATAACGAGAATGCTCCTGAGAACGAGGATGGGGAGACTTGCTATGGGAATGTCATCAGGAAAGACCCATTGCTAGAAAAGGACACCATGTTTGAGAAAGCTGAAGGTTAGTGAGGGAAACCTTCATTGAGTTGGATTGACACAAGAGCCTTAACAATGAACTCAAATATATCAATGGTGTTGGCCCGATATTGGGAAATGCTGCATTCTGATGTGCATAGAGTTGCCATGAGTCAGAGCTGAATCCATGCCAGCTAACAGCAGCAAAAGGTCTATCTATACAGCTGTGTCTTTTGACGGGCTTTATCTGGATATACCTAGGGAAGTCCATTCTGTGGTCACCAGCCCCTTCAACCCAGAGAAGTCAACAACCTCTTTTTGAGTGACAGTCAGTTTGACCAAGAACAGTCTAGAGCCCAAGATGCTTATGGAAAGATAGAGACCCAAGGAAAATGACAACATGTGGAGTGTATCCTTGCACATGAAACCCCAGAATCACAGGAAGTGGCTGAGGCTATCTACACATCCCTGACAATGGGGTGATCCAAATCCTGCGTGGTAACTGGTGTAGACCTGGCCTTGCAAGGTGGGCTCCTGGGGCCCCTTGAGAAGCAGTTGCTTTGCACAGGTGAGGATCGGGTCCTGGTATTTTCCAGATGAGATAAATAAATACCATCTGGAACTGGATAGGCACTCTGCCAGTGAATATTGAGAAATGAAGGTAAATTCCACATAGGAGGGTAAGCTAACCTTGAGAGGTGGGGCTTCATGGCACGTTCAAGCATGAAAATAGTAAAAAAGGTTAAGGTGGTGTGACTTTAAAGGAAGAGAGGAGACTCATTAAGTGAGCCTTCCTTGCTCTTTAAATTCAGAAAGCACTCCAGCCCTCAACAAGGGACTCCTTATGCTGTTCGAGCCTTCGAAAGTCAAGGAGTTACATTTATAAAGATGTTGATTGGACAGAGATCTGCTCAGATCTTATTGGAAGGGATGGTGATTTCCCAGGGCTATGTTAACTACACTCTCTTTATCTTCCTCCTCAGATGGAGGATGAAGGAGACTTCGAGCCATCAGCAGCCTCTTGGATGATGTGGTGGAAGCCAGGCTAAGCTCCAAGCTTCATCCTCCGGTGAGCAAGAGAGGATTCAGCTCAGATGCTGCAAGCTCTCCAGAAAGCTATCATAGCTGGACCACATCACAGACCACAGCATGAGTGGGACCATTTCAGCATTAGTGCTGGATGGATGGCTTGTTTGAGATGTTGCTAAGATTCATGGGAGGAAGGTATTTGTTTTAGCAGCTCTGGCAAAGGCCTTTCAGGTCCCCAGACTATCTCACCTACCTTGGCCAGCTCTGTCTGTAGCTTATTCTTAACATCCATCACTTCAGAGATGCGAGCATTGAAGGCCAGATTGGTGTTGGTAAACTGCTTCCACATCTGATCCGACAAGGTCTCGAGGAGGTGCTCTCCCTCCTCTCGCAGCCGGATGGAGTTGGCCCTCATGTTTTGAGAGTGTTTGATGTTGTCATTACTGAACTTGGCCCAGGTCTCAGGCACAGAGATCCTGCAAGAGGCCCAAAGGCAAATTTAATACAGGGGAGAAATGGGGGAGATGGCAGATAGTGGCTATGGTAGTCTTTGGAGACCTCCTTACCAGGGTTTCTCAGCTTCTGCAAGAGAGTTGGACAGTGACTAAGAAGGATAGAAGGAGAATTGATGCCTTTGAGCTGTGGTGTTGGAATAGAGTGTTGAGGGTACCATGGACTGCTAGGAAAACAAACATTCATCCTGGAAAAGGTTAAACCGGGCAGCTCCCTGGAGGCAAGGATTCTGAGACTCTGTCTAACATACTTTGGACATGTTGAAAGGCAGAACCAGTCCTTGGAGAGGGACATCATGCTTGGGAGGGTGGAGGGACAGTGCAGGAGGGGAAGGCCCTCTATGAGGTGGATTGATTCAGTGACTGGGATAATCGGGATGGGTGTATCAGAGACAGTGTGATTGGCACAGGACAGAGCAGAGTTTAGGGCTGTTGTTGTACGTAGGGTCGCTATGAGTCGCAAGCAACTCGCAGCACATACAACAACAACAGGGCTAGACCTTGTGTGTACTTAGAAGCATCACAGGCTTCTATCCACTAGACACTACTGCTGTTGTTGTTAGGGGCCTTGAGTTGTCTGTGACTCATCATAATGACCCACAAACAGTAGAACAAACCCAGTCTGATCCTACACCATCTTTACCATCTCTGCTGAGGTCCTTGACAGCAGATTTTCCCCTTTGTTTCAGTTACTGGGTCAGTCTATCTCCTCGAAGGTCTTCCTTTTCTAGACACCAACCTCTACTTTTCCAACCATGATATCCATTTCCAACAACTAGCCCCTCTTGATAATACGTCCAAAGTATATGAGACACTGTCTCACCATCCTTGCTTCTCAGGAGCACTCCACTCTGGTTGTACTTCTAACACAAATTTGTTGGTTCTTTTGTCAGCCCATGGTCTATCAAGTCTTCTTCAATCTTCAGTGTTCCACTTTCACATGCACATGAAGCGACTGAAATGATTGTGACTTGGTTTAGGCATACCTTTCTTATTCTAGTGACATCCTTGCTCTTTAGCACTTACAAAAGGCAGCAGATTTGCCCAGATTTGTTTGATTTCTTGACGCTGTTTTCTTGAATGTTGATGGTAGATTCCAACAAACTAAAATCTTTGCAACTTCAATCCAGAAATATCTCCAGACCTTGTCCAAGGGACGCTGTGGGAGGTTGACAATTTCCCGGGTAGAACACTATTATCCTAATCCCACCCCTTGCGTTACAATCTGGACAGAACCAGAATCTTCCATCACCCTTGGACACTCAACGAACGTATAGGAGAACTATTCCATAACATTCTCCCAACCATCACCCGAGCCAAGAGACAGATGAAAAACCCAACACTGAATCCTTGAACTCAATGGTGGCACACAGCCAGGCCAGCTCTGTTGACTTGCTCACTCAAGAAATGCTTTGTAGGGTATCTACCATGCCAGGTATTATTCTAGTGATAGAGCTGTAGATAAAAACAGCAAGATTTCCACCCTCATGAAGAATAAGTTCCAGTGATGGAAATAATAAGTGAAAGATTAAAAGAAAGATGATAAGCTGAATGGGGTGAGTCATTATGCATTGTAAAGAAAATGTGATCCCCAGAGGGGTGGGAAGGGTTAAGGAGATCAGGGAGGAGAGCTGAAGAGTTAAGGGACTCTAAAGGCTTGAGTTATCACCACCCTAGGTCTGAAGGGACAAGAGGTGATGGAACCATGTTACTAGAGCACGGGAGAAGAGCAGCCATGGGAAGTCACAGCACTCAAGAAGAAAGATAGATCAAGTGAGTAAGTCCTCTGACATCTTTGTTCTCCTACCCCCATCTCCTGCTGGTGCCCATCCAATGGCAAATCTCTGCTAGAAGCTGGAAGGCAAAAACAAAACCCCAGCAGAGGTGGTCTGCAGAGGTCCCTTCTACAAGACACACACAGCAGGGCAGCTGGAGAACGCATTGAGGTGTTGCAGGGAGGGCGAATAGGTATGGACACAAGCAGGCAGGGAAGGCTTCTTGGAGGTGGTGGTGCATCAGCTTGAGCTGCAAGTTCTTCCTGGCAGAGGACACAAGCAGCCTAAGGATCATGTGGCGTTCTTCTCTGGAGGGAGCTTTGAAGAAGGACACATGTTCTTCTACATTGGCTTTAGTTCCTGGGTAAGCGGAACTAGAGAACTTTTTCAAGGTCTTTTCAAGCCCGGCAAATTTCCAGCTCTTAAAGGCAGCAGATTTTATTTGTTTTTTTCTGAACCAATGAGGGTGGAGGGGGTAAGGGAGGGAGGGGAGAGAGAGAGGGAAAAGGAACTCCATTTTTAGAAATAGAGGTCACATTGTAGAGAGATTTCAGAGCATACTGTGTGGTGAACCAGAAATTTAAAAAACAAAAACAAAAACATGTAGCGTGAAATGGGGAAAATCTGTGTAAGGCAGAAACTTGTCAGAGAAGGAAAAGCTTGACTATTTTCCACTTAAACAAGTGATAGAAAAACAGTAAGGCTACATTCTGTCAAAGACATAAGACTTGGGAGATCTGGAAAAAACAAGACAGTCCTGTTGAGTCCCGGTTTGCACTATATACTGCACTGGTGACTCAGTGTTCAAAACACTCAGCTGCTAACCAAACAGTTATCACTTCAATCCCCCAACAGCTCCATGGGACAAAGATATGGTATCTTACTTCCATGAAGAGTTCAGTCTTAGGAACTTCATGGGGGCAGCTATTCCCTGTCCTGAACAGTTGCTGTGATTTAGAACACACTCAAAGGTAGTAGAAATGGTTTCACTGGCTTTTGCAATTGTTCACATCAAGCAACAACTGACCACAGGCTTCTGAAGACCAGAGAAAAACCAGTATCTAGGCCAGATTTTATCTAATACAGATGCAAAGGGCAGAGATGTGAGTAGCCTGTCCAAGGGCACAGAGCTACTCATCAAACCCAGAATGTAGCAGGAGAGAAAGAGCCCAAGGGCAGCAGGTAGAGACCTTCCAGTTCCCTCCACTGCAGGATGGGACAGTGTCGTGTCCAAGTCCTCTCTCTCCTCTGAAGCTCCCTGGATAAAGTAGGCCAAGAAATTATGCTCTCCCCAGGGAGCTGCCCAAAGGCAGGCTGTCTTCTCTGCAAGTGATAGGCATCAGCAGGAGGGAGGTGATTTTTGAAGCCCTGTCTGTCCTCTGAAGACCGAAAGGACAGCAGGCTTGGCTGGAGAAGCCAGAGTCAGAGATGCAGGCTCAAGGGCTGCTTGCTGTGTGAATGTGGCCCAGTCACTTTACCTTCTTGAGCTTAACTTTGTTGTAAAATAAGGATGTGCAGAAAATAATGGCACAAGGCCTTTCCTTATGCTGTTGTTAGAGGCCATCAAGTTCACTCCACCTCATAGATAAGACATTAAAACACTGCCCCGAGGGAGCTCTGGTGGCCTAGTGGCAAGACGCTGCACTGCAATCCCAGAGTTACGCAGTTCAAATCCACCAGATGCTCTGCTGGAGAAGGAGGGGGCAATCTCCTCCTGTACCAGTCAGATCTGATTTGACAGTACACGTAAAAATAATACAATAAAAATTTAAAAAAACAAAAACACTGCCCCATCCTCACCACCTTCATAGTCCCTGCCATCCTCATGTCCCTTGTTACAATCACTGTCAACTCATCTCATTGCGGGTCTTTCTTCTGAGTGGGCTTGAACTCTTATCTATTGATCTTTTCCCCCCCTCTGAAACCACCATCCTTTTCCCCTCCCTTTTTCTACTAGTTTATTTACAAAATTCAAATGCACCACCATCCTTTTGATAGCAGTTGGATGCTTACCCAGTTCATCACTTTTGCACAAAGAGAGGTCTGGTCTTTGTCCCCAGAGTACTGGAAAGTAATTTTTAAACCCATGGAATTCTCTGCTTGATAAGAGTATCTTTATCTGGGGGCCTGGAGTCAGGCCAGATGGCTTATGCTAACAGTGACCAGCTGTGGGTGGTCTCAAGATCTACTGTGTCAGCTCCACCTCTGGAGGCCTCACAGCAGTCAACAGTGTCTGAGCCGCAGTGAAAACCGTGGACCCTCAGGCTCAGATGAGCTTCTCAGTTGCTCCATGATCTTCATGGTTGGTGATGCTCCGTGGATGTTGCTGGTGCTCCATGATCTTCCTGATTCCTGGTACTCCATGAACTTTCCTGGTTGATGATACTCCATTATCTTCCCAGTTGGTGGTATTCCAGCAGCTTCTTTGACATGCTTCCTGATTTTTCCCCTGGTTAGTCATGCTCCTGTCCAGGATTACTGGAATCTTGGCCTGGTGTCTCCTGGACCCCATCTCAGGCACTTGTCCCTTCTGGCTTTAAGCTATGTCCTTCCTCTGTAATATACTGTAATCATGAGTATATATGGCTCTGCTGAGATCTGATGGCTCATTGATTAAATGTTGGGCTGCTAACTGAAAGGCAGGAGGTTCAAATCCATAAGCCACTCCATAGAATAAAGATGAGCCAGTCTGCTTCTGTAAAGATTTACAGCCTTGAAAACCCTATGGGGCAGCTCTACTCTGTCCTAAATGGATGCTGAGTTGAAATTTACTCAAAGGAAGTGGATGACTTGTTTTAGAAAATTATTGAGCCTGAGGGTGGTCTTGGGGACTCCCCAACTTGCACTTGGCATTAGAAGTGAGAATGTTCTTCTCAAATGCATAGTCATCAAGTTGGAATTTACTGAAAACTGACTCTTCAGTGGGTTTTTGGATGATGCTCTTGACAACTTCTAACCAAGGGATAAAAATGGTATTTAGCTCACAGAATTGTTGAATAGCTAAATGAGGTCTGCAAAACTTCTTTCCTAACTTCTTTCCTAGCACATATTAACTGTTCAGTTAATGCCTATTATTTGTGAGATGCTGCATTTAAAATTCTGCCAAGAGTCTCATATACTCCCGGGCCTCCACAAGAAAAAGACTGATAACCCAATTACAAAGTGGGCAAAAGACATAGAAAGGGTTTTCACAGAGGAAAGACATTTGAATGACCAACAGACACATGAAGAAATGCTCCAAATCATTGGCAATAAGAGAGATGCAGATCAAAACCACAATGAGATAGCGTCTCACTCCAGTAGCAGCGGCAAAGTTTAACAGGACAGTAAGTAATGTTGGAAAGGATGTGGAGAGATAGCAACTCTTACACATTGTTGGTGGGATTATAAAATGGTACAACCATTCTGGAAGGCAGTTCGGTGTTTCCTCAGAAAGTTGGACATAGAAAGTCCATATGACCCAGCTATTCCACTGCTTGGAATATACCCCAAGAAAATGAGAACTGAGGCTCAAATGGAGACTTGTACACTTATACGCCAATTGTATACCAGTGTTATTCACCTTTGCAAGAACATGGAAAACAGCTCAGATGTCCAACCACTAATGAATGGATTGAGAAGTTGTGGTCCATTCACACAATGAAATACTATGCAGCATGCAGGAGCAATGATTTTGTAAATTACTATCTAACTTGGGAGGGACTGGAGAACATTATGGTGATTGAACTAACTCAGTCCCACAAGGACAAATACCGTATAAAACCATTATTGTAGGATGAATGTGAGGATCCAAGCGGGGAGGAAGGTGGAAGTAGAGGGGTGAGAGGATGCTGGGGGGGTGGGGCGGTGGAGTATTATGCAAAGAGTTGCACAATTCAGTGGGTGGGGGAAATGAAGGAAAAAGGATGGATCTTCTATGAAAAACAATGTATTCAAACTTTGTAAATATATCAATATAAAATGAAAATAATTAAAAAAAATTAAACTCTGTGATACACAGTACAAGGCAGATACCCACAGCATTAGGTAAAAGGCATCTACCAGTGGTTTGTTGTTTGGGTTTTTTAAAATTTATTATTAAATTTAATGAAAATTTACGGAGACTTTGGATTTCCATTCATTCATTGTTGCACTTTTTTCCTCTCCCAACCCTCCCCCCCCCCCAGTACACTACCTTCTTGGAAAAGTAAAAGAAAAAGTCTTTCATTGTTTTACAATCCCTCCCCCAGGTCCACTCCACTATGCAGCCTTCTCTCTGGACTCCTGTCATGACAAAAATACCTAATCACATAACCCTTTTAAACAGTTTTCTCCCTCATCTGTTTCAATGCCGTATACACTATTGAACCCATCTTTCTCAGTTTCCCCCCAACCCCAATGTTAATCCTGTTTTACAACAGTGGCACCATGCAGTATTTGTCCTTTTGTGATTGAGATACTTTACTCAGCATAATGTCCTCTAGGGTCACCCATTTTGAATAATATTGCATGAGTTCCTTGTTTACCAGTTTTATTATCACTATTGTTGTTGTTGTTAGGTGCCATTGAGTTGGTTTCAACTCAGAGCTACTCTGTGGATAATGGAACAAAACTCTGCCTGGTCCTGCTTAATCCTCACAATTGTTGCTGGGTCTGAGCCCATTATTGCCGCCACTGTGTCTGTCTTCCTCTCATTGACCCTCTACTTCTCTAAGCATAAGGTCCTTCTCCAGGGACTGGCTCTTCCAGATAACCTGTCCAAATATGTGAGAACACGTCTCATTGTCCTCCCTTCTAGGGAACATTCTGGTTGTGCTTCTTCCAAAACACACGTGCTTTTCTTCTGGCAGACTGTGTTATTACCACGGGCTCATCAGTCCATGGCAGTGAGAACTCTGGTGAACAGAGACACTGCCATCCAGACAGTCAGCAAGAGCCCTCTTTCACCTGACGTGCCCTGTGTTAGGAAAACCCGGGTAGAAAGCCCTGAGCCAGCGCATCTGGGGAGCAATCAGTCGCCACTCTCTCCAGCAGTCACTAGACGAGGAACTTTAAATAGCAACTCCTCTGGGCATGGAAACTGGAGTCTCCACCAGCCGGCCCAGCTGCCAGGCTTCCAGAGTCAGCTGGCGAGAAGGGATGCCTCTGGACTCCAGTCTCAATGGGTGGCAGAGGCCAAGGAGGACCAAATCCCAGAGGCCTTGCTCATGTTGGCAGCACTGTGGACACAGCCATTTGTAGAGAAGGAGGAGTTCTCGCCGGAATTCCTAAGCGTCATCTCAACACTTAGATAAGTTAACTTAGATCCAGAAAATGACTAGATCTGGGCCAAGGAGACTTCCAAGGGATGCCTTGCTTTCGTTCTTTCTCTTTTAATTCATTCTTCTATTTAGCAAAGATCTATCACTAAACATGATTCTATCTGCTAAAGACTTAAAAGTAATGGAGCCAAGATATCACAGAGTACCCCAGATGCCCCTCCCTCAAGCTCTTACTGCCCAATCTTGGACCACTGATGGGGAAAGTGTATCTTAGCGTCACTTGGCATCCAATAAGGTTGTGATATGCTCACAACAGTGCCAGGCATATAGAAGGCACCTCTCTTGTTGACTTCAGGATAAGAGAATAAGGCATGTGCAAGAAATATTAGTGGTGCTCACTCATCCATGCTGACTCTCTTCTCAGACTTCACAGGCTCATTCTGTAGTACTCACAACAGTCCTTGAATGTGGCTGCTGTTTTTTATCTCAATGGTTTAAATTAAGAAGCTCATGCTCTCTCTGTTGAGAAAGTCATCTTGCTTTTGGAATTTGATGGAATTGACTGTCGTGGTGCAGACCCCGATCTGACTGTCACAGTACAGGCCCTGGCTGAGCAGTGGAGGTTATATGGTTCTCATTGAGTTGAATGGATACTCTTTCTTTGTGGAATTTGCATCTTGAACAAAGTGGTATATTCAAGGTTGACTTGTACCCCCACCTCCCCACCTCCTCAAAATATACTACAGTCCTCCCCCCTGGTACCCTTGAAAGAGATCTGACATGGAAATAGGGCCTTTGAAGATGTGCTTGGTTCATTTGGCATGAAGTCACTCTGGAGCAGGTGGGTCTTGGTTTAATATGGTTGGTGTCTTTGTAAGAGGAGGAGAAGGGACACAGAGGGAAAGCGGCCATGGGAAGACAGAAATGGAGGTTGAAGTGATGCAACCACAAGCCGAGGCAGGAGGCAGGCCACCAGAAGCTGGAAGGGAAAAGTACAGAATCTCTTCTAGAATGCTAGAGGGCTTTCTGAAATATCCTGAATTCAGACATCTGGCCTGCAGAACTATCAGACTAGAAGTTTCTGTTGTTTCAAGCCACACATTCCGGTAATGTGTGACAGTATCATTAGGGAATAATGCTCAGGGTAAAAATGGTGGTGTTCTGACAACATGCCTAATTAGCTCCTACTCTTTGGCTCGCTCAGGTTGCCAGAGCCTGGGGATCTCCAGCCTTCTTCTCCTTGGGTCTGTAGCTCTTCCTCAGCCTGTCAGGAAATTCCCTTCCCTTAGAAGTTAACCAGAACTGGATTCCACTGCTTGCACCAGGGATCTGCAGCCATCCATTCTGCCTCTCACTTTCTGGTGGAGACGCTCCTTAATTGTTTCTGGGCAGCCCGTTTCTGTCCACCCACCATTCAGGGATGGGGATAGAGGGCCAGAAAGGAGCCTGAACTTACGTGCCATCAACTTTATCCACACCATGGAAGAAGTTGATGCAGTCTGAGGTGCACGTCAGGTTAAAGCACTTCTCGTCAATACACTCAGCTGTGCTCTTGTCCTCAAAGTCCCGCTCCAGAGCATGCTGGGCGTCCCGGTTATCCCTGTAGGGAGAAGGGTCTGTCTCTGGGGCTGCAATTACCCAGAGTCCCTCCCTCCAGGTCACATGGTGGGCAGCCAGAGTCACTGCTACAAGCAAGCTGAGTCTCTGGACTCCCAGGTGAGTGCTCTGTTCACATCGAAGAGCTTCTTGGACCCCTTCCCACCTTGATGCCTCCCCATGTCATCACGTACTCAAGCCCTCCCCACTTTTCTACCCTCTCCCCAATCTAAAACACCTGTTGTCATGTACAACGTTGTTGTTACTTGCCATTGAGTCAATCCCAACTCATGGTGACTCCACATGTGTAAGATAGAACTGCTTCAATACAGTGATGCTTCAGAAATAGTGTGCCAGGTCTTTCTACTGAGAGGAGCTCTGATGGCCTAGTGGGTAAGGAGTTGTGCTACCCACCTAGAGGCAGGCAGTTCGAATCTACCAACTGCTCCATGGGAGAAAGCTGAGCAATCTCCTCTTGTGTGATTTACGGCCTCTGCAAACCTGCTGGAGGGTCAGCTATGAGTCAGTTCTGACTCAATGGTGTTTGTTCAGCTGAGATGCTTTTGGATGGATTCAAACCACTAACCTTTTGGCAAGTAGTTGAGTGCTCAACTGTTTGCATCACCATCTGTTGTTAGAACAGAGTTAGCAAATATTTTCGAAGGAGCCCAGACAATGCAAGTATCATGCACTTGACTGCTAGTCAAAAGGTTGAAGATTTGAAAAAAAAAATTTTTTTTATAATTTTTTTTAAAGATGCACTGCTGCTGGAGAAGGAAGGGCAATCTCCCCCTGTACCAGTAAGATCTAATTTGATGGTACACACAAAAATAATATTTTTTTTAAAACAAGAAATTTTTTTTTTAAAAAGTTCAAGATTTGACTCACGGGCCACTCTAGTGGTATAGTCCATAGGGAATTGTGCTGCTAACCCAAAGGGTCTATCTCTCTGGCAGTTTGAACGCACTGGTGATTTCATGAAAGAAAGATGGGCAATCTCCCTTTATGCAATTTACAGCCTCAGAAGCCCAATGGAGGATCAGTAAAGAATGTGTTTCACAATTCTTGCCAAATTCCTAAAGTCAATTAACTATTATTAATAGTTTTCTTTTTAAAAAATATCACTTTGCAAAGTAAATGTACCTTAAAGGAAACCCAGTATTCCATTCATAGAAGTTTCCCTCAAACATAAACATTAAGTAAATATGACGGACAGTGTTGGGTGGGGCTCCCTGATTAAAACAAGCTTGGAAGGAGGAGTGGTGTCCACTTCCATAATAGCTTGCCTCTGGAAACCCTATGAACCTGGAGAGAGGATGAAAGGCACCCAAGTGTCGAGGACTTTCTTTCATAGGGTCGCTATGAGTCACCTGCGACTTGACGGCACTTAACAACAACAAATACTAGTTAAATCCTATCTAGCTTCTGTCCTATCTTGAAAGAAAACAAATTAGTCAGCATTAGAGATCCAGAAAGCATGTGGTGACTTCTGCCTTAGACACTCTCTCTGATAGGATTATCCACTGTCTCTCCAAAGTGCTCAAGAGCAAGGATTCTAGGTTAATAATAACATGTGCCTGATTCAAGCCAGTCTTTTCAACTACTTCCTATGCATGTGAAAGCTGGACGGTGACTAAGGATGGCAGAAGAAGAATCAATGCTTTTGAATTGTGATGTTGACTAACCCATGGAACTGCCAAAAGAATGGACAGATACGTCCTGGAGGAAGTGCATCCAGGGCGCTCCTTAGAGGCGAGGATGGTGAAACTTTGTCTCACATACTTTGGGTGTATTGTTAGGATGGGACAGTCCTTGGAAAAAGACATGAAAGGTCAGAAAAAGAGAGGAAGACCCCCAACAGGATGATTGACACAGTGATTATAACAGAGGATTTGAGTGTATCATACATGGTGAGGATGGTGCCGGATGAGGCGAGATTCAGATCTGTTGTACGTACAGTCACTGTGAGTTACAGTCAACTCAACGGGCCTAACAACAATAAGAACAATTCTCATTCTCATTCTCTCTCTCTCTCTCTCTCATTTCTTCCACGTGTATTGTTGTTGTTATGTGCCATCAAGTCGCTTACAACCCATAGCGACCCTATATACAACTTTCTTGAACCCTGTTCTGTCCTGTGTCAACCTATTGTCTCTGACATATATACACTCATTACTTCAGTCACTGAATCAGTCCATCTCATTGAGGGTCTTCTTCTCTTGTGCTGTCCCTCCATCCTCCCAAACATGATGTCCCTCTCCAAGGACTGGTTCCTCCTTGCAACATGCTCAAAGTATGTCAGAGGGGCCTCAGAATCCTTGCCTCCAGGGAGCAGCCTGGCTTCACCCTCTCCAGGATGAATCTGTTTGTTCTCTGGGCAGTCCATGGTATGTTCAATACTCTTCTCCAGCACCACAGCTTAAAAGCATCTATTCTCTATCATCCCTGGTCATTCTTCAACTTTCTGTCATACATAGATAATCATAAAAAATAATTCAAGGCCCATTGTTATAACTTTCCTCCTTAAGTGAAAAAAAAAAAGACTTTTTTTTTAAAGCTAATTGACTCCAGGCAAATATTGCTGCTGTTGTTAATTTCCATCGAGTCAGTTCTGACACCTGTGACCCCGTGCACAATAGAAGAAAGTGGTGTCTGGCCTTGCACCATCGTCAGGATGTTTAAATGTTCGAGTTCATTGTTGCAGCCATTGTGCAGTCCCTTCTACCTAATGGGCCTCATCTTCTTTCTTTAAGGAAACACTCCACTGTGATCCACAGGTTCTCACTGGCTAATGTTTGGTTGCCAGCTCTTTCTTCCTAGTCTATCTTAGACTGGAAACTCTACTGAAACTTGTCCGCCATGGGTGACCCCATATTTTAAATAGTGACGGTGTCATCTGTCGCAGCACAGCAACAGATAAGTCACCACAGTACCAGACAGGTGTTAGGAACAGACATGGGGTAAGCACCGACTTGAGTAACAGAATTAGAGCAGGTGTCCAAACTAGTGAGGACTAGCTTCACATTGCATCTCCTTCCAAAAGCCTTCCCTCTGAAGCATCTCTGGGTCATCTCACTCTACCTCTCATTTATCTGCAGCAGCTTTCCTGAAACATGTGTTCAAAGCTGTCCTCGATGCTTTCTTATCCAGGACGATTCCCTCCTAACCCTGCCACCCACTTCCCACCCACAGAGGAGTGGAGAGACTCCTGGGATGAGGACAAGAATTGCTATTTCTGGAGCCCATCGTTTTGGAGGACCCAAGAAGCAAGTGTGGACTTACTTGTACTTTCATACTAATCTGTCGTGATTTGAAACCCATGTGAAATTGTTTACCACAGATTAGTAAGTGTTGTTACATGCCATGGAGTTGGGACCGACTTGCACAGGAGGAGATGGCCCTTTAGCGAACCATGCAGAAGCTTAGCCCATCTTTCTCTCACAAGGAAGTTGGTGGATTTGAGCCACGTGTCTTTGGGTGGCAGCAACCTTACCCTAGGTCACCAAGTGTTGTTGTAGAAGAAGGGCAGCAAGGGTCCTGAAATCATCCGCCACATTCCAAGTAAACCAGGAGTCCCCAAGGCCACCAAGTAGGTACAGGTAAGCCTGCGCTTTCCTTGTTGACTGGGTACCCGGCCCTTCAGGGCACCTCAAGGCACAGTAGGCCTCTAGGTTCCCAGCCTACTTGTAAACTGCCTAACTCTGTGGCATCAAAGGAACCAGCAGAGGCGCATGCCCAGGGAAAGTTAAGGGTGAGTGCCCAGTTCAAGGACCAGGTGGGAGATAGCCTCAGGAGAAGCTGGGAGCCAGGGCTTAGTTGTGGATCCAAGCCCTGTAAACTCGAGCTTCCCTTTAATTATGCGAGGGACTCCTGGCTTGTCAGGATCGTTACATAATCTCCCAAGAATAAAAGCTGATGTCTTTTGAAGGTTTCTGGTTCAAGGCATCCATGAACCCCACTTTAAAGACGCCCTTGCCGTCTGCATTTTGCAGGGTTTCTGAATAGCCACAGGTAGCCACAGGGGAAAAATCCAGTGATGCCAGTTTCCGTTGTCCAAGGCCCTTATTGCAACAAGACCAACTAGTGATGCACTAGTTCACCAGAGACTATTATGCATGTATCAGCAGCACCACTTTGCAGTCTGCCATCAGCCATGGCGGGATTGTTTACACCTCGGCAATTGGCATCACCTGCTCCTGGCTTTGCTGCATTGTGATGGCTTATGTGTTGCTATGGGGCTGGAAGCTAAGTCACTGGTATTTAAAGCACCAGCGGGGTCATCTGTGTTGGACAAGCCTCAGTGGAGCTTCCCAAGAAAGACAAACTAGGGGAAAAGGGCTGGCAATCTACTTTCAAAAACCAGCCAATCAGAACCCTAAGGTTCAAGGACAGAGTATTTTCTCATATGTTTTCTAGAAGATGAAGCTCCTGGTTTGAAAGGCACTCAAAATACTCAGGGGTCACAATGGACTTGATCATACCTGTGATCATAAAGATAATCAAAATCAGATAATGCTTTGCTCTGTGATGCACATGGACCAGAAATGACTAGACCATAAAACTCACTGCTGTAGAGTTGGACCATTTCATAGCTGACCTCCCTTTGGGTTTCTGAAACTGAACTGAAAGGGAGAAAATTGCCCATCTCAGAGCCACAGGTGGATTTGAACCACTAGGGGCGCAATTTTTGGATTAGCAGCACAACTCCTTACAGATTACATCACCAGATTAATAGCAGTTTGCAAATGCTACAAATCAAGATTTTTTTTTTTATACCCCCCTGGAAGAGTTGGTTTTACCAACACACCACTGACCCAGAGACAATAGAGCCTATCTGGTCTGCCCCTAAAACATAGAAATCCCTAAATAGTTCCTCAGGGCTGGGGAGAAAGAAGCCCTTACCGCATCTGAATATCAATTCTTTGAGCTAGTTTTCTCATCTGTTCTTGGCAGCATTTTAGCAAATCCACCTCCTGAAATGATAAATGTTGGGAACAGTTGGGCATCTTAAGACACTCACAGCCTCCTGTCTCCAAAGCCAGCACCACCAACTCTCAATCTGTGAGATCTTGAGCTAGGGTGATGAAGGCAATTACAGGAGTATCACATTCTTTGCTCTACTTTCTCTTGTTATTATTTTTAATACCATCTTACTATATTTTCATTGAAGGCTTACAAAGCAATTTATGTGCCAATTTAACTTTGTACGGAAGTTGTTCAGTGACATTGGCTACATTCTACACAATGCATTAATATCCTCATTCTTTGTTCTGATTGGTCTCTTTCCGTTAATCTAGTTTCCCTGCCTCCTTACATTAAACTTTGTTTTAAAGCTGATCATTTGGTCTCATATAGATGATATTTTTAAGGAGTATGGTATTTATAGATGACATTATTTTTTTTAAAGTAAATTCATTACTTAGTTGCAAAGGAACTTCAAGGGTGAGTTTTGGTTCAAAATTCTAGTATCTCAGGTTAAGAGAGCCAGGGCGTTCATCTGTCTCCATCAGTACAGTAGGTCTGGGTTTTGTTTGTTTGTATGTTTGGTTTTGTTTTCAGGAATATAAGATTCTGCTTCTTATTTTTTTAATATTCTATCAAACTATATCAACTGTGACCCTGATTAGAATGACTTGCCATGGTAGTGGGGCACCATCTAGTTCTTCTGGTCTCAAAGTAGATGAGGTTATGGTTTGTATAGAATATTTGCTCTTTAGACTAATTTCTTCTTTGAGCCTTTAGTTTCCATCTTTCTCTTTTGCTCCAGGTAAGTCGAAACCAATTGTTGTATCTTAGGTGGCCTCTAGTCTTTCTTTCGTTTTTGTCTATTTCCAAATTGAAAGAAAACTGAGAATCTGCAATGTATCAAGTGCTCACTTATAACTTATCATCAAATCAAATAATACATGTGAATTGGTCTCATGCATGAGAACTAGCAGGTTCTCTATAACCACTAATTTCTATTATTGTTACTTATTGATAGCAATATTAGGTCACTCTAATTCAAAGTTATTGTCTACTTCAAAATTAGACAATAACGATATTATGACAACATCCATTTTGGAAATAAAAAAGTTGAGGACCAAATGGGTCTGTTTATCTTCAGCCCTAAACTGCAGGCTAGGTTCACATGAATCCTCCCCAGACTCATTCTTTCTTTCTTTCTTTCCTTCCTTCCTTCCTTCCTTCCTTTCTTTTTTCCAGACTCTCACTTTCATAGGGGACACATGTAGTTTCTGCCAGATAGAAGGCTATCTGATCAGCTGACCCTCTCTTTTCCTTTAGGGGACTCTGGCCAGACTAGGGCAATGTCTTACCTGGAGGAGATTCTTCTCCACGTTATCATGGACCAAATCAACCCCAATCCTTTTCTCTCGAAGGTACAGACACTCCAGAGCCACCTGTAGGGAACAATAGGAATAGTGTATTGTTTGCACAGCTGTGTGTAGACCCCGAGCAGAGGTGACACAAGTTCACTTTTGCACAGTCTGCTTTTTCCCCCCTGGGAAACCCATGGCTTTGTTTGGTCTCCTCACTGTGCTTTCAATGGGTTTCTATTCCTCTCTCTCCCTTAGGGGACTGCAGAGAGGCTGTGGAATATCATGCTCAGTTCATTAGTGGATGTCAGACCCATATAAAGAAAGTGGAATGAAGTCATGACTTGGGAAGTAACTGTGTTCACATGTCTCTTGACTCCATTAAAGGAGTGATAGGCAATGAGGATTAACACACCTCCTATTATTCCATATTTGGCCCCCAAATCTTTCCAAATTATAATAATAACTAAGATTATAATCCTTTATAATTTCATGGAGGACAAGATTGGTTACTATTTCTCATGTAGCTCCTTTCCCCATCCTCAAGTAGGAGTGGATGAAAAGTTTTACTTTTGAGAAGGTTATGAGGTAGACAGGGGAGGTGAAGTCAGTTGGGGAAATAAAAGGCAACACTTCACATTTTAGGATTACAAAGGAGGCCCCAACATCTGCATTATCCCAATCCAATTGGTATACCAGCAGACAAAATGCATACCAATTAACTGGCTGGTAGGGACAACGAGATATATGACCTAGAACTGTCCCCATTGATAGATATGCTGGAATAGCAAATCACCATCACGTGGCAGAAAACAACCTTTGGTACATGAAAGGATTTGGCATGAATGGAACAAAACTCCACTCATTGCCAAAGACTCTGAAGCGGCTCAGAGTTGACCCTCCAGTGAGTTCGCAAGTCTGTAAATCATACAAGAGAAGGTGGATCTTCTTTCTCTCCTGGAGTCACTGGTGGATCTGAACGTCCAGAGAGGCTTGGACTGTGTGTTAGCCGGGTGACTTCATACAGACTAGACTATTAGAACTTCCTTTAATGTGGAGAGTACTCCTGGAATTCCCTGCCCATGCTATGATTTCTCCAAATCATTTATGCAGAGGGCTGAAAAAGCACTTAGAAGGATGCTTCAATCATTAGATATTGTTGTTAAATGCTGTTGAGTCAAATAGAATTCATGTTATTGTTATGTGCCATCCAGTCACCTGTATTGTACAAACAATACCATACCATACCATACCATACAACACAACACAATACAATGTATGTATTGTATGTATAATAGCTTTGAACTCTGCCCTGACCAGAGCCAGTCTCATTGTCTCCGTCTCAACACACCTACCCCCCACTACCCCAATTATTGTGTCAATCTGTCTCATCCAGGGTCTTTTCCTATGCTTCCCACCACTCTTCTAAGCATGATATTCTTTTCCAAATACTGGTCCCTACTGGCAATATGCCCAAAGTATGTGAGATAGAACTTAAAAATCTTTGTCTTCATTCTTGTCCGTCCGCCCAAGAAGCAGCAGTTAAGAGACTAAACTGGTTTCCATCCCCGGCTTTGGACACAGGCCCTGTGGTGATGATGGTGCCCAAGAAGAACCAGATTGCCATATTTGAACTCCTTTTTAAGAAGAGGGTGATGGTAGCCAAGAGGGATGTCCCAGAATTGGCAGTCAAGAACATGCCGAACCTTCATGTCAGGAAGGTCATAACAAGTCGTGAGGCTCTATGAAGGAACAGTTCAGCTGGGGACATTTCTACCTTAGGAGCGAGAGTATCCAATATTTGCATGACTACCTCACCTGCCTCCTGAGATTGTGCCCACCACCTTGCACCATGGTCATTCTGATACTGGCAGGCCACAACCTGAATGTCTGGAAGGTCAATGACCTGCAAGACTGACCTGAGAGGAGGCTGACAGACACATATGGACGAAGTGCTGTGTCTCATAGTGCTAACAAAAAGTCAAGGCTGGGGCTGGGTTAGCAAGTGAATTCCAGTTTAGAGGTGAAGTCAGTCATGGATGTGGTCAGCCACCTCAATCAAGTGGCACAGGGAATTGTTGGAGGGAACGGTTTAGTATTGAAAAATTATAGGTATAGCCAGACAAAAAACAACAACAACAGAAAACTAAGTGCCATATTGCATTGGACAAATCTTTTGCAAATGACTCTTTGAAGTGTTAAGGAGCAGAGATTTCACTTTGTGAACTAAGGTGCACCTGATGAAGTCATGAGAGCAGTCTCTTGGTGGCCCAAAAGGTTAAGCTGTTGACAAACAACTGAAAGGTTGGTGATTCAAAAACACCCAGAAGTGCTTTGGCAGAAACTTCTGGTGGTCTGTTTCCAAAAGATCCAGTCTCAAAACCCCTCTGGAGCCTAGTTCAGCTCTTACATACGTGGAATCATTATGAGTTGGATTTAAATCAATGGCAACTAGTTTTTTTATGGTAACTGGTTGGTCAGGCTCCATGATGGTCCAATAGGACCTTTCTCCAAGTTTCTTTTAATCTAAGAAATGAGGAAATTTCTTGAATGAGAGAAGATCTAACCCCAGGCTCAGGTCAGTTTAAGTGATTAGGAGCTTGGGTTCTGGAGCCAGACCACCTGAGCTCAAATCAAGGCTTAACCACTTCCACCCGTGTTTGTAACCTCTCTGACCCTCTGTGTCTTCATCTACAGATGGAAGTGATATCAGGCTCACTGTTTGACTTGACTCACACAAAGCAGATGGAGCAACATTAGTAACAATTACCTATGAATATTTGTGAAACTCTGTTTTGGAGATCTCCAAACAGAAGGAGAGCTTTGGAAAGTGACCAGAGCTACACTGACCGTGCAGCTGTCATGGGAGACACGAAGCAGAGCACTGTGGAAGGCAGCCTGGGGAGCCTAGTGATTGGACTTCTCACTGTGACGTCACAAAGAGCATCAACAGCAAGAAGGATGTTGGGAAGGATGACATCGTGATGCCAGGAACACAAATGCTTCTGGGAACTCTCAGCTGACACATTCATCACCACTGAGACTCTCTGATAATTCAGCCCCGCCTGTGTGCCAAGCTCAGTAGAGGGGCACAACAAGGGACTCGATAGACAGTGCCTCTGCATTGTAACAGAGAGGACAGGCCACACACAAATAAAGAAATTGGGTAATCTCTGACTGTGATGAAAACATCAGAATAGGGTGGAAGAGGGTCAGCTGGCAAGAAGGGAAGGGAAGTGTTCTGGGAAGAGGAACAAAGCAGGGCCTCAATCGTGAGGTTCAGCTGTGAAAACAATCCACCAGGAAGAGGGAACAGCATATGCAAAGGTCCTGGGGTGGGACAAAGGAAAGACAGGAGCCACTGTGACTGGAGTGGACAACAGACTAGGGCAGTGACAGGACCAGACTGTGCACGTTAACTGTGAAACAGTGGACAGCCACTGAAGTCCTTTAAGTGGGAGATAGAGTCTTTGTTGGATGCAAAAGGTTCATGTGTTCAGTGTTAACCTGAAGTCAGACATTTGTGCTCACCTAGCGGCACCTCGGGAGAAAGGCCTGGTGATCTACTTCCAGAAGACTTGCCTTTGAAAACTTGACTGCATGCAGGTCTACTCTGACACACAGGGGTTCACTGTATATTAGTGTCAATTTGGAGGTCACCCAGAGGCATCTTAAAAGAATGCCCTGGCAATCAACTTCCAAAAATCAGTAGCCAAAAACCCTCATGGAGCACAATTCAATTCTGATATGCCTGGGTCTCCAATTAGCCAGAGTCACTACGATGGTAGCTGATTTTAGAGGACGGCAAAGCAGAAGGAAAGAGGATGAGTCCCTTCTGGTGTTAAATTGAGGATCTGATCCCTGATATAGTCATTGCGAGAGAAAAGCAAATTACCATACGGTTATGCATTGTAGTCAAGTTTCTCTGTCACGCAGCTGGCAGCACTCCTAAATAAACTGGGATGATTGGGGACAGAAAGACCAAGGAAGTGTCAATGAACGCCTGCATTCATACCTTTAGTCAGCAAATATTTATTGAGTGCCTATTATATGCCTGACACTGTGCTAGGCTGGGAATACATGAAAATGCTTGGTCTAAGCAACAATCAAGGTAGCTCTGGTGGCCTAGTGGCAAGAAGCTGCACTGCAATCCTGAAGGTACACGGTTCAAGGTCACCAGCTGCTCCAATACAATTAACTGCCTCTAAAAACCCACTGGAGGGTGAGCTATGGGTTGGTTCCAACTCTATATGGTACACAACAACAAATGCCCTGCCACTGGGTCCATTCCAGTTCATAGCAACTCTCCAATGGGACTGTAAATCTCTGTAAGAGGACACTGCCTATCTTCCTCCTGCCGGGCTGGCGAGAAGCTGTGCTGCAATCCCAAAGGCATGTGGTTTGAGGCCAGCAGCTGCTCTGAGGAAGAAGGATGGGCAATCTCCTCCCATGAGATTAACTGCCCTTGAAACCTGCCACAGGGTCAGCTATGGGTCGGTTCTCACTCTATGGCACACAACAACAACAACAACAACAACAGGGCAGTTGGTGGATTCAAAACACTGACCTTTAGGTGAGCGGCGCAACACGTAACACCCTATTGCAACGTGCAAATACACAAACATCAACATTCATTAGAGGTTACCAGCCCTGGCAAGACAGAAAATTGGAGTTAGTGCGTAAGGACTTTCTATTTGGAGTGATAGAACCTGTTTGGAAATCGCGGAGATGCTAGCATAGCATGGTGACTGTATTTAATGGTGCTGAATTGCACATTGAAAATAGTTGAAGTGGCAACTTTCTGTTACACATGTTGTTGTTAGGTGCCACCGAGCGACGCTCTGAACAGTTCTGAACGGTCCTATCCCTTGCTATCCTCACAATCTCTGACACACTTGAGCCCATTGCTGCAGTCACTGCCGACCCATCTCATTGAGGGTCCTGTTCTCTTTCACTGACCTTGTATTCACTACCATCTATCAAGCACGAAGTCTCTTTCCAAGGAATAGCCTCTCCTAGCAACATACACAAAGTATGTGAGAAGGTGTCAGCCCTGCCTCCAAGGAGCACGCTGGCTGCACTCTTCCCACACATATCTGTTTGTCCTTCTGGCAGTCCCTTCATGGGACTCCTGCTGGATGACTTTCTGAGAAGAAAAACTGCACAGGAGGAAACTGCCTGTCCTTCTCCTGGGGATCTACTCATGCATTCGAACTGCCAGCGAGCCATCACTTTTGGGTTAGCAGGTCAACTCTCTAGGCACTGGGAGCCCAGACCTCCCTGTCAAATATTTATACATGTGGCTGGTGCTTTTATATATGTGTCAGACTCCTAGCTCTTGCAGGTTTTCAGAGGCAGTAAATTGCACAGGAAGGTATTGCCCATCTTTGACCCATGGAACAAATGGTGGATTCGAACTGCATGTCTTTGGGTTGGCAGTAAGCTCACTCACTCACTTATGTTTTCTCTCTCTCTCACTTTCATTATTGTCGTTATGGAGTCAGGACCAAAGTGTTTTCTCTAATTTTAAATTTTATCACACAAGGTGCACCTGATACAAGCCATGGTCTTTGCAATCACTTGTTATGCATCAGAGAGTTGGACAATGACTAGGGAGGATAGAAGGAGAATTGACGCCTTTGAGCTGTGGTGCTGGAGAAGAGTATTGAATGTACCCTGGACTGCCAAGAAAACAAACAGATTCATCCTTGAGAGGGTTAAACCAGGCTACTCCTTGGAGGCAAGGATTCTGGGGCTCCATCTGACATACTTTGGACATGTTGTAAGGAGAGACAGGTCCTTGGAGAGGGACATAATGTTGGGTAGAGTAGAGGGACAGCACAGGAGGGGAAGACCCTCTATGAGGTAGATTGATTCAGTGACTATGGGTGTGTCAGAGGCAATGCGGTTGGCGCAGGATAGAGCAGGGCTTAGGGCTTTGTACATGGGGTCGCTATGAGTCGCAAACGACTCGATGGCACATAACAACAACAACAACAACAATATCAAACCAACTGATCATACATTGCAATGCAGTTCAAATTGACCTGCAAGGTGCCCATGGCCGTGTTCTGTACCCAGTGGCGGTGGAGTGCACATGACCACCTGACCCCATGGTCACACAGCCATCGCCTCCTCTCAGCCCACACTCACCTGCAGTGGACAGTTCACTTCCTCAGCGGCACATTCCAGCCGTCTCTTGATCGAATTCAAACTATCATTCTCGGTGAGAAGCCTCTCCAGCTCGTAGCCCAGCTCAGACTTCCAGAAGCCAATGTCCGAGAGCCTCTGGCCCAGGTTCCGCCAGGTGCCCTCCTGCATCTGGCGGGTCAGCTGATCCTTGTCCTTCATGAGCCTCGTGGAATCGCCCGTCAGACGCCCAGCCCACAGGCGGGAGGCCTCGGCCCCTCGCAGATGCAGCTGGTTGGACTGTTCCCAGTCATGGGTACCATAGCGACAGAAGAGTGCCGAGCGGAGGGCTGGCAGGATGGTAGGTGGCCGCAGGGGACTGCGGTTCAGGGCACTGTCATCTGGGCAAGTCTGCACGTTGGAGACCCTGCAGAAGAGGCTGGGCCTCCAGGAGTTGAGGTAGCGACACCCAGGCAGGTAGTAGGGCTGACAGCATTCCTGGACCACAGGCGTCTGTGCAGCAGGTGGCAGCATGCTCAAGCCACAGGCTTTCTTGGTGCCACAGTAGCTGGCAGTCTGAGGGGTTCCAAGGAACTCCATCCTCCCCCATCAGCCCCTCTGGAGACGAAGACAGAGCAAAGACATCACCAGGCAGGGAAGGGGCCTTCTCCAAAGAACCAGCAGGCCTCTATGACTCAGCACGCTGTCATAAAGCCTGGGACAGTGGGACCTTGGCAGGGCCCTTCTTACTCTTGGGCCAGCTGGGGCCACGCTATCTGAATTTTAAGAACAATAAGACCAACAAAACAAATAATGAGTTTCTCAATCCCCAGAGTTAGGGATGCAACACGTAACACATAAGACACTTTTCTTTCAAGTAAGCTGTTCGCTTCAAGAACTGGCTCTGCCCCATGGGAGGAAATGACATGGTCCATTCCAGGGGCATCATGCAGGGTCCACAGGGTCAAGGTTAGCTGTTTTCTTCTCATGTCCCCAATAGGGTGTCTAACTAGTACAGTCATATCTTGGAATTCTACTCAATAATAAGAAAGAACTAAGTGAATGTAAGAAGCATAAGGAATCTCAACTGAGAGTAGCTGGACTCCAAAGGCTACCTCTGAATTTCCTCCACTTACATGGCGTTTTGGAGAAGGCTGAAACACCTGAACAGAGGACAGAGCAAGCATGGAGGTGGGAGTGGGAGAGAGTGAACCACAGAGAAGGTGGGAGTGGGCGAAGGCAAACCACACAGAGGAAATTGTAGAGATTAATGTCGTTGCTATGTGCCTTGAGTCAGAACTGACTCACAGTTAATCCTCCAGTGGGTTTTCTGAGGCTGTAAAGTGCATGAGAGGAGATTGCCTGTCTTTCTCCCATGGAGCAGCTGATGGATTAGAACCACATACCTTTGGGTTGGCAGTGCAACTCCTCACCCTCGAGGCCACCAGAGCTCCCTGTAGGGATTAACAGTACTGTTTTTTTTATCTTGATTGTGCAAGTGTTCATCAAGACTCATAGGACCACATGCTAAAAAGGGTGAATTTTACTCTACGTAAATTATACTTGCAAAGAAGTGCAAAAAAAGTGGTTTTTGCAATCACTTGTTATGCATCAGAGAGTTGGACAATGACTAGGGAGGATAGAAGGAGAACTGATGTTTTGAGCTGTGGTGCTGGAGAAGAGTATTGAATGTACCATGGACTGCCAAGAGAACAAACAGATTCATTCTAGAGAGGGTTAAACCAGGCTGCTCCTTGGAGGCAAGGATTCTGGGGCTCCGTCTGACATACTTTGGACATGTTGTAAGGAGAGACAGGTCCTTGGAGAGGGACATCATGCTGGGTAGGGTAGAGGGACAGCGCAGGAGGGGAAGACCCTCTATGAGGTGGATTGATTCAGTGACTGGGGTAATCAGGATGGGTGTGTCAGAGGCAATGAGATTGGCACAGGATAGAGCAGGGTTTAGGGCTGTTGTACATAGGGTCACTATGAGTCACAAGAGACTTGACGGCACATAACAACAACAACAACAAATTATATTTTAGGGAGACGTTGGTGGTTGAATTCTTGTCTTCCATGCAGGAGACCTGGGTTTGATTCCCAGTGAACACTCTTCAAACACAGCCACCACTCCTCCTTCAATTGAGCTCTAAGGGTTATTCTGATGCTGAACATGTTTCCACAGAGCTTCCAGACTAATTAGGGAGCAAGTATGGAAAACCCTCGCATTGCTGACAAGTCGGAATCATCATTGGGCTTGTGTGGCTGTAAATCACACTAGAGGAGACTGTCCAGCTTTCTCCCATGGAGCTGCTGGTGGATTCGCATGACCAACGAGGTGCAGCATTTGATCTAGCAGCACAACTCTCTACGAAGCAAACCACCAGAGCTCTCTAGACTGGAGAGAACAGCGGGGGGGGGGGGGGAGATTACTTCTGAAGAGCAGCAGTAAAAGCCTCATGGTCATAGCAGATCACTGAGAGAAACCTGTCACCAGGAAAGACCAGTTGTGAGAAAAGAAAGTCATGTTTGGTAGAGAGCCAACAAAAAGGAGGGCCACCCTCAGCGAGATGGGTTGATGCAGGCACCATAACAATGGATTAACACTGGGAGCTCTGGTGGCCTAGTGGCAAGAAGCGGCACAGCAATCCCAGAGGTGAGCAGTTCAAATCTGCCAGATGCTTCGCTGGAGAAGGAGGGACACTCTCCTCCTGTACCAGTCAGATCCGGTTTGACGGTACACACACACTCTAATAAAAGAAATTTTTTAAAAAAAGAATGTGTGAGAACTATCTGTGACAATATGAATGAACATTATACGTGAGAGAAGATATGAGAGGGTGAGAGTACGTGCGAGTGTCTGAGTGGGTGCATACGTATGAATGTGCATAAAAGGGTTTGAAGGTGTAATATGTGTGTGTTGCGCAAGATCAGGCAAGACAGAAATGACAAATGAGACATAAACCTTGACCTTGAAGAGGAACAGCCTTGGTGGGAGTATTGTTGAGCACAGGTACGAGGAGGCAGCTCATGCAGGGGGTTAGAAGAAGAACAGTGAGGGGAAAGCGCGCATTTAGAGAAACGTTCTCTTGAAGGTATGGGCCGCAAGGAAGGTAACAGCAGCAACTATTTATTGGGTTGTGGTCCTGGGAAGCCAAGATGGAGAAACTGTGTCTCTATCTCATATGCTTTGGAGATGTCATCAGGAGGGAACAGTCCCCAGAGTAAGACGTTTAATAAAACAGCTGTGAGATGCCGTGGAGTTGACCCCACTCATAGAGATCCTCTGAACTGCCCTGCCCTGCCCTGCCCTGCGCCATCCTCACAACCTCCGCCATGCTCAAATGCATCATTGCAATCATTGTTTCAATCAAAAAAGAAGACCTTCGATGAGATGGATTGACAGGGTAGGTATAATGGGCTCAAGTCCAACCACCATTGTGAAGATTGGCAGTGTTCTCCTTCTGTTGTACATACAGTCAGTATGAGGTGGGACTGGTGGCATCTAACAACGTGTCTGTGGCAAGAGCCCTAGTGGCACGGTGGATTAAGTATTAGGCTGCCAGCAGGAAGGTCAGTGGTTCGGATCCAATAGCTGCTCTGTGAGAGAAGGCTGTGGCAATCTGCTTCCATAAAGATTTACAGCCTGGGAAACCTTACTCTCCTCTGTCCTCTAGGATCACTCTGGGTTGCAATTGACAGCAATGCGGTATGAGTTTATATTGAAGTAGTTAAGCTGCTAACCTAAAGTTCAGTGGTTCAAACCCATCCAACATCCTGCAGGAAAAAGATGTGGCAGTTGGCTTCCCACAATACCTAGAGCTCTACTTCTGCTCTGTGAGTTGGAATCAGCAATGGATTTGGTTTTGATTTGGTTGTGACCATGGCGTGGCATCCTGAGGTTGTAAAGTTTGTGGCAACATTATCCCCTTACTTCTCAGTGCCCCCAGTTCGGGGCGCTGCCCACAGAGGCTCTGAGCACCCTGGGATCATAAGTGCCACAAGAATAAACCCCTAATCCGTCTGACTCAACACACCCACCTCACCTAGATGAAGGGAGATGAGTGTAGATGTGAGTGTGAGAACAAGTGTGCAAACACCTGACTATATGTGTGTTTCAGAGGATACCAGAGTCCTAGTGTGACAATGAATGAGTGAAAGCATGATTGTGACTGTGAGCAAGGACTCGGTCAATTAAGAAAAATCAGTGAATGAAGAAGAGGGCAGGGCAGGAGAGATGCATCTTTCAGAGCAAAGGATCCCAGGCAGCAACTCAAGTCTCCAAGTCAGCAAGCACTCCTTGGGCGCCCTCTGTGGGCACGCAGGGATCTTGTCACTTGTCGCTTCCACGTCACCTCCCTGTCACCTGCCACTGCAAGGGGTTGCAGGTGGTGCTCAGAAACCCGAGTAAACAGGACCACATATCCACAGCCTGAAAGAGAGTGAGCAACTTAAGAAAAGTCAACAAACTTCAACTCAGTATCCACATGATATTGTATCATTCAAAGACTAACTTACATTCTGCAGTCAAGTCAAGCAATACTCCCTCTCCCCTTTAGTGCCTGGTCTAATGGCCGGGTCAGTCTATCTTAAAATCTACTTGTAGATTCAAACCCGTGGTAGAGAGTTGAGAGTGACTCATAACAACACTCCATCGGCTTTTCAAGGCTGTAAATCTTTACCTGAGGAGTTTGTCTGCTTCTCTAGTGGGTGGGACCTGCCAGCATTCTGGTTAACAGTACCATTGCACCATCAGAGCACTTTACTGGCAGATTTGTAGGCAGTGGGTTTTATGGTGTTTGAAAGGTGCAGTGATTAAGCAATTAACTGCTAAGACAGACAGGCCTTCAGAACTCGTCTACAGGATCATGGAGGAAAATGTGACAATCTTCTTCCATAAACATTACACCCTGGAAACCCGATGGGGCAGTTCTACTCTGTCCTAAAGGGTTGTTCTGAGGCAGAATCAAGTTGATAGCAACTGGCAATACTATTTAAAATACATACATTTTCTGTAGGTATCATTTTTTTAGTGACAATTTAAAAATTACATTGGTCTTTCTTGCAATCATTTATAGAATTTTGTTTTGTAACATTACTTGCCATTGATTCATTAATCACTTATCCTTTCTAATAAACCCCTCTCTGGGTATTATATTTCCTTCATGTGACTTATCTGTTGTTGTTGCTGTTGTTATGTGCCATCGAGTCGCTTGCGACTCATAGTGACCCTATGTACAACAGCCCTAAACTCCGCTCTATCCTGTGCCAATCGCATTGCCTCTGAGACACCCATCCCAATTACCCCAGTCAACTGAATCAATCCACCTCATAGAGAGCCTTTCCCTCCTGCGCTGTCTCTCCGTCCTACCAAGCTTGATGTCACTCTCCAAGGATTTGCCCCTCCTTACAAGATGTCCAAAATATGTCAGATGGAGTCTCAGCATCCCTGCCTCCAAGGATCAGCCTGGTTTAACCCTCTCCAGGATGAGTCTGTTTGTTCTCTTAGCAGTCCATGGAACATTCAATACTCTTCTCCAGCACCACAGCTCAAAGGCGTCAATTCTCCTTCTATCCTCCCTAGTCATTGTCCAGTTCTC